CTACTTGTCTGCATGTTTGTCATTCTGTGAACAGCTGTTCCCCTTTATTTTGAGCTCAACAATTTTTTTATAATACAACTGGGTTATAGATTTATAAGCATGTTCTCCCCTAAGTTACCAGCTGGTTTAAATGATAGCAAAATTAAGATGTTTTAACCACAGTCCTTAGGATGCAGAGAAATTATTGGGTAGGACTCCAATAGAGGAGTGGCCAACCTTTATTCATTAATAAGGAGCCCCCAGTGATCTCCATAGTCTCTTGAGAGTCACCCCAATAATTGGGTCAGTTGGTCAGAAGGAAGTTTTTCAGTTAAGGCATTCATGAGTCTGGATCTACGATCTTCCAAAATGTAAAACAAAGACTGTTTATCGTGATAAGACTTTCCTTCAGATTAAGACCTCCACCTTTAACAGAAACATGTGAATCCCATTAAAGGACAACAGCTTCAGGTATAAGATTACGATAATCAGTCATGTTATGTCAAAATGAAAATTTAAGTATGTTACAAAATATCATCATAATTGTCGTGTAGCCATTAAAGGACAACAGCTTCAATTAAGATAATTGGTCATGTTATGTCAAAATGAAAATTTAAGTATGTTACAAAATATCATCATGATTGTCATATAGCAATATTATGTATGCTTTTGATTTCTAAATTTCTGGGTAAAAATATGTAACTATTGTTTGTTAACATTCTATTAGGATTTATATATTAGGATATACATGATTTTTAGAAAATGGTGATTGACCACTATTTTGGACCTTTGACTATATTTTTATTTTTCCAATTTTCTACTGTCATTTTACATGGTATTATAATTGTACTTTGCCTGATCCTCTTAGTCTAGCAAAGTTCATCCAGAAAACACCGGGAGAAACAGGAAGACAATTGGCAACCTTCTCCCTGATGCTTCAAAGGATTGCAGCTAAACAAAAAGGGGGAAAGGTGGAGAAGGACATTCTTTGATTAGAATGCATTGAGGACACAATGATTTAAGCTTGATTTTATAATCCTCCTGTCTCGACCTCTTGGGTGCTGGGATTATAGGCATGTCTTGGGTGCTGGGATTACAGGCTGTCTTGGGTGATCCTTTAATTATCCTTGCTAAAATGTTTGCTATCAGCCCATTTGTCCTAGCTACGTCCTTGGTTCTCGCTCAATAAAAGGTGACTGAACTGGGTATAGGGAGCAAGGCAGTCTGAGAGGCTGTAAGCCCCCTGATCTCAGAATATTGTCTCCCTTGTTTTGTTTGTCTCCCTTTTTCTTTTACTTTTCTTAATCATCCACGGGCACCTTGTTCTCGGGCCTGGTACACCCTGGACAGGGATGGATGTCAAGTCCCACAACCTGGTATGTACAATGCTGAGAGGTTTATTTTTTGTTGCTTTCCTCAGGTTTCAGATCAAATTCTAACACTATTCCTAGGACAAAAAAAAATATTGAAGAAAGGATATAAATTGTGATAATTAAAACAATCATTTGGAGCATGTGAACAAGCTTACCATCCATTCTAAACTCTTTTGTAGGTTAATTTTAGGGCATGAATTTTAATGTTTATCTTTGATAATTGAACCCCTGAGGCTTTGTTTGTAATCTCATGTGAAAAAGGGTAACAACGCTGCTTTTCAAGTATGCAGACAAATAGATTATATTTACCAATACAATAAAATGTGTACATTAAATGCAGAAAGGAAAAGTACTACATTTTAAGTTCCTTAAGGCAATACTGTAAACATTTCAATTGTGATTATTTAATGATGAACATTAATGAAACTTAAGGTTACCTAGACTTCATTTTCTTACAAAGTCGCTTGAGTTTACAATAAAATATAGCCTGTAAGATACTCAAAATAAGTTTAGTGATTTTAGGAATAGGGAGAAGTGTACAGGAGAATCAGCATTAGGAAGCTTTAATTAATTATAAATATTTTCCTGAGCTTTTCTGGTCCTTTTCTACAAATGATCATAAAAATCAGCAACCCTGGATAACAGTTGTGGAGTACTTTACAGCTGTTAACTCTCTCAAACACTGTGAAAGGTCATGATTTTATCTCCATTCTACTGAAGAGGAGGCAGCACAGTATATTTGCGGTAGGTGCCAGTGCTGAGGAGGAAGAGTTAGAACTCAGAGGAAGGCAGCAGGGCTGGCTTCACAGGTGCTAGACCTCTGTGGGGCCCAGGTACCCTTCACTTGGTTTAAATACTATGCTGCAGCGAACTTGACATTCTTAACAATTTTTTAACAAAAATACAGCTAGTCCTGCTGGCCAGAATGAGTTGAGACTCTGATAACCCATCCTACCAAAGATATACTAGTTTAGATGAATTCCCTACTTACTGTACAAGGGTTGAAAATTTAGCTAAAACAGCACTTGGAACACACACTTGGAAAATGAGAATTTTAGACTAGTCAAAAATACCATAACTAAAGCATTCTAGATAGAAATAAGAATCCATTAATCAGACAACCAGAAAGTAATATTAATGTTTTTATCAGCTATTTTACAAAAACAGCCATAATTCTTTTATTATATTCTGTCCTCAAATAGTAAAACTTTGCTCCTGTCCAACTGATATGCTAGGAAAGGTAAAACAAGATGTGATCTGACACCAGATTTCCAAAAGACATTAAAAAGAACTATCCAGATAATTTTATTTGGTTTACAAAAGAAATAATATTTTAGCATCGTAAGGTACCCCAGACACTGCAAAACTAGGAAATTTAATTAAATAAAGTTGGTACCATTGCCTGCAGCAAAATCTCATCATTACTATCACAGTCTTATTTGAAAGTTTTTAGGTTTTGTTTTTGTTTTCGTTTTTTGAGACAGGGTCTCACTATGCAGTTCAGGCTGGCCTTGAGCTCGCAATGATCCTCCTACCTCAGCCTCCCAGTGTTGGGATTACAGGCGTGGGCCACCACGCCTGGCTAAAGTTTTTAGATTAATTTAAAAAGTAAACCTGGGAGCTTCCAGACAGCTGAACACACAAAGTTCCTGAAGGGTAGGCACACTCAGAGAAGGCATTAAAGCGCAGTCCTCCTTCCCGCATGCCTGGACTATGCTGCTTCCTCTTTATCCTTTGGAGTAGGCTTTAAACCGGTGAACTACCCCTGCTGAAGAAGCCAGGGATCCCTGAGAAAAGTCATTCTCTCAGCAAAGGTCAGAAGCTCAAGGGACAAACAGAAAGAACAAAGACCTCTTACAAACTTCCATTTAGAGCTGGCACAAGCTGTTATCATTTCCACCCACATCCACGGGTCAGCTAGCTATGTCCAACGTCAATGGGTTGGAAGGTAAACTTACTTACAAAGAAGCCATGCTAAGGAAGGAAAGAAGAATGAACCATAAACAAACGACATTACCTAACCCAACTGTCCAGGATTGAGTCCAATCAGTTCTGACATTAGCTACCATGAGGCTGCACAACCATGGCCTCAGTGATCTAGGTAGCTAAGGGTAAAATAAAATAGTAAGACTCCTCTAGTAAGAGTTACAAAATGGAGAGAAAGGGAGATCCCTATCTTTCCATCAAGAAGCTGTGAAGATGTGATTCATGGAGTCAGTCGGATCCAAAACCTAATTTCTGTAATTACAGAAATTGTCATAAAGATTTTTAAAAAAGTTTTGGTAGTTTTTAAGATCTTTTGTTGTACCATTCCTACAGTTGAAGTTTGGTTATGTGAACTACTAAAAAATCTCTTTTCTCTTCACACAACCCTAACCCTCCTTTAATATTCCTCAAGAACCTCTTCTGTTTAACTGCTAAAACAGCCCACACTCACAAGGCCAATATATTGCCTAGCCCTAGTCCAATAAATGCCTAGTGAATGAATAACAAATGATATAAGGCTTATCTAGGTCACATTTCAGGAAATTAAGAAGAAAAAGATTGTCACAAGTGGCAAGAGAAAAACTATACACCACACTCATTTTTACTAGTACTGAGAAGCTTTCACTCGGTTTTTTAAACACATTTCAACAACTTGGTTTCTCAGCTTCCACATGGGATAATATAAACGGGAAGCAGCTGCTCCTAGAACGCAATTCTAGGACAGAAGTAGACACTGGAGACAAAGATTTACAAAGTCGATACACACATTTAAAAACATCATCTACGGCCAAATCTAAACTATGTCACCGTGTCCCCATACACCTCCCCGGGCCCTTCTCCTGGGGCATCTCCAGTACCTCTAAAGGGGAGAAGGGAACATTTGTGCTCTTTGCGACATGAGAATTTTCTCTAAATTGTATGACAACTGAAACAATTTGCCTACATTTTGAATCTAAAGAACATTTCGTGCCTGGTGAAACTATGCATCCGCACCGATTCTCACGAGCATTTCCCGACGGCGTACTCGATGCTTACCGTCGAGGCGTTATTCCCGGTGCACGGAAGGAGGCCGAGGCGGGGGAACTGCCAGGACGGACTGCTGGGTTACACGGCGAGCGAGGCAGCGGGACCAGACTCCGCGGACCTCGTGCTCGCACCCCGCTCCGCACTAACGCACTCCACAAACGGCAGTCCTTACGCCCCGGCGCCTGACAGGTGGCCCCGGCTCCCGCATTCAGCCCAAAGCCTGCCCGGAACGGCGCGAGGGTTCTGAGCCCCACTCCCAAACGCCATCCCGAAACCTCGCGTTCGGTCTTCCGCGGACTCGCACACCAACACCGGCTCCCACAACGGAAGCCCCACGCCGGCGTTCCCGCGCCGAGACAAAGGATGCCCCTGGCACCGGAGGCCGAGCCCGGCGGGCGGGCGGCGGCCTCGCGGGCAGACGCGGCGCGAGT